TTTCAAAAATTAGGGGGAAAATACCGGTCTTCAATTTATAACGTTCCATCCCATTATCTCGTTAAGGCGGAGCACTATCCCACAGAGCCTAACCCCAACGACCATCCCTCTCCTGCAGATTCCTAATTCCTTCCTTAAGTGCCAGCGGGGGGGGGGATATAATGAAAGCAACAGGAGACCAAAGGATTTATTCTTCAAGTATATAATAGAAAAACCAGTGTAATAAAAGAGGATATAGCTATGAATGACAACGTTTTTTTTTTTTTAGAAACATCCCCGTGTCAATATGTTGCCTATTTTATGAGAAACATTTATTTCTCGTGAAGCAATTCTGAACGTTTTTGTATATAAATAACTCGTGATAAAATAAGTAAAGAATAACGTGTGCATTCAGAATTATTTCCTGGAAAAAGGAGCTTCCGTCGAGAAGGTTTCTGTGAAATACATTTTAATTCAACATTGTGTCATATCAGAAATGCACTTTAATTTATACCTTGTATTGTTTAAATACATATAGTCCCTAAACCAGAAAAAATCGACTTTTCTTGTAAATGTTTTTGTTATAAATAAAAGTTCACTGGCATTTTGGATTACTGGAATAGAGCGGACATAACAAGAAATGACAAAGGAAAAAAATATAAGAATGTCTTTTCCATTTCTTCGTTGTTTTAAATAAAACAAAAATACAGCCAGGCAGACAACCAAAAAATAAAATAAAAATAAAAATGTAACCCAACGCCACAAGCACGTTTTCTCTCGGAAGTACTTCCAAAGAAAACGTAACCAGGTCTCGGTGTAAATAGTATAAAATTATTTTCTATCGATACCTTTATAGTTTCAAATATATTTTCAAAATAAGATTCCTGAATTACAAACATATTTTTAAAAGACTTGAAATGCATCCATCAAGAGGAGAAACCCTAATCATACAAAGAATACCGAATACCAGCATTATCACAGAAAACAATACTAAAGATAATGACAAACAATAATAATAGAATAATAATAAAGTCTAAAACATTGAATATGAACTGAAAACTTTAAAAGGTAATTTTCAACCATCAAATGTACGCAGTCATGACCGGAAGCCTAATATTGGGAACATACATACCTGGACTTTTTGTTTTTTCCGATGCACTCTCGGTCAGTTCTACGTGACACGTAACGGACAAGCGCACACTCACCTGAAAAGAAAACAAAGAGGGGTTCATATGTGTGCATCATATGCATGAGCGATATATACATGACAAATATGGATTTATTCATGAGGTTCCCTTTCGATGTGTACTCGAACACTGATTCCGCACAAATTGGTTGGGTGTGGCGAGTGGCGAACATTTCAAATATATGTTGTTTCATCTGTTTTTCTTTTTTATATTCGTTTGTGACGCATTGTGTATGGATAAGAAATGGATTTTCGTTCCCGCCATTGACACTAGCCTTCGAAGGAGAGAGTCTTTGACATTTCTATCTTTATTGTTTCTTTTGTTCGCCTCAGCGGGAGATCCCACGTATATATAGGTAATTTTCAATTGTTTGGAGTTAATTATTGAATGCCGCTGGCAACATCCTTGTCTTCATTCTGCATTAAGTTTTGCTCATAAAAAATAAAAGTAAAAAAACATGGTTTCGCCAAGCATCACAAATTATATTAGGCTTAAAAGCTGACATAACACAATTTTGTTACAACTTTCCAACCAAATTTTACGAAGAGAGAAGAAAAAATGTTTTCTTGGAATACCAAATTAGCCTCCGGCCCCCAAAAATGTCTTCGCCAACACAGCCTCTCCCAAAAGTTTTCCGCGGCAAAATTCCATGCGGGGACGAAGGAAGCGTGTTGGGGGAGGGGGGAGGGGGGAGGAAAAAATCTACACACACACGAACAAAGGGAACCAACAATCCTCCGCCTCATTGTAAAGAAAATAACTTATGGCCTCCAGGTTGTTCCCTGTCTCCCCTCCCCCCTCTCATCCCCTACCAATACCAAGTACCTCCCTCGTCCTTCACCCCTCCATCCGTCACCCCGAGCTATGTCGCAGAATACGCCCTTATCTACTTCTTTGAACTCACAACTACAGCTCCTGTTCAGTGCGTTTAATAACACCATGGTCGCAGCCCCTCTGGAGCACTAAAGGCAGTACCTAGACTTGCACTTGTACTAAAACTATCAACCAGGTCAGAATTCAAATGCAGCAAACAACTTATCTCAATTATTTCTGACATGAATTCCCACACAGGAAAACAAAATATAAAAAAAACAATAAAAAAAGAACAGGACCTTGTCAACCGTTCCTTGAAACTATTCACACATTCGAAAACCTTATTCACACATCTATCACAGATGTTGATTCCACTGGTGGGAAAAGTCTGAATCGAAAAGGGGAGAAAAAAATAAAGAAAAAAATAATACTGAGACGACATGCATGCCAAGTAGAGTACGAGAGGGGCGCCCACCCTTAGCTGCGGGCGGGGAGGATATTCCCGTCACGCCCTCGTCACT